TCTCTCTCTCTCTCTCTCTCTCTCTCTCTCTCTCTCTCTCTCTCTCTCTCTCTCTCTCTCCTCCTCTCTCTCTCTCTCTCCTCTCTCTCTCTCTCTCTCTTCTCTCTCTCTCTCTCTCTCTCTCTCTCGCACACACTCTCTCTCTCTCACCCCCTCTATCTCTCCTCCCCCTCTCACTCACCTTCTCTCTCTATCTCACCCTGCAGGTGTGGATGAGCTGAGGGGACAGTTTGGTAAGGGCATGATAGGAGACCAGCCTGACCCATACTCCGTCTACCCGTTCGGCGATCAGCCAGCGCCACCTACGGCCGCACACCTGACGACGTTCGGACCCAGCGCGCCAGCAGGGGGCGCCGCCGCGGGCCAGCGAGGCTTGCAGGATTTTAGCAGTCGGCGCAGACAGCTGCTGTTGGGTGGGGAGCAGCTGGTGTCCTCTGATACTCGAGGTGAGGAGGAGGTCGGGGAAGGAGGAGGAGGAGGGCGGGGGGCGCAGGGAAGGGTTAGGGAGTAGGGCGCAGACAGCTGCTGTTGGGTGGGGAGCAGCTGGTGTCCTCTGATACTCGAGGAGAGGAGGAGGTCGGGGAAGGGAGGAGGAGGAGGAGGACGGGGAAGGGAGGAGGAGGAGGAGGACGGGGAAGGGAGGAGGAGGGGGCGGGGGCGCGGGGAGGGGGGTGAGGGCTGCAGTGCATGCAGGCAGGAGAGCAGGGAGGAACGCTGGGGGTACATAAAGGGAGAGAGGGAAGAAAGCTGTGGTTACATATAGGGATGGAGGGGTATATATAGGGAGGGAGGGATGGAGGGGTATATATAGGGAGGGAGGGATGGAGGGGTATATATAGGCAGGGAGGGAGGGATGGAGGGGTATATATAGGCAGGGAGGGAGGGATGGAGGGGTATATATAGGGAGGGAGGGAGTGGAGGTGTATATGTAGGGAGGGAGGGATGGAGGGGTATATATAGGCAGGGAGGGAGAGAGGGATGCATATAGGCAGAGAGGAAAGGTGTGGGGGTACATTTAGGGAAGGTTGGGGGGAAGGCAATGTGGGGGAGAGGGGAGGCGGGGTACACGTGGTCTGGGGTAAATACACATGAAGAGGAAAGGAAGGGAACTAGTTTCATTCCTCATTTCCAAAGGATTTACGTGTGTATAATTTTGCGACAGTTGATCGTTGTAAGCGAGCGAACGCTGGCTGGTGCTTACGTTCCACGCTCATTCCATCCTCCAGGTGCTGAACCAAGATACCAGTTGACCTCTGTGCCTGACCCGTTCAACCGATCACAAAGCGTTTCCCGGTAAGTGAGGAAGATTCCCTCCTCTTCCGCAGCAGATACCAGTCGCGCTAGGCTGCGGTAACCACGGCAACCGTTCGTCTTGTGTCGGCCGCGGGAAACCGTCTCGAAGATCGGTAGAAATCTGCTGCGCGTGGGGTCGGTAACCACGGCAACTGTTCGTCTGATGTCGGCCGCGGGAAACCGTCTCGCAAAGATTAGTAGAAATCTGCTGCGCGAGGGTTCGGTAACCACGGCGACATTTTGTTGTCTGATGTCGACAGCTCGTGACTGTCTTGAGGATTGTTTGCGTGCGATTGTCCGCGTCGTTCGCTCGGGGCGTTGTGATGACGCGAGCATGCTCTCTTGTTTCAGGAACAGCGCGACGCCGGACACGGTCGTGTCGGGATCGTCGCCGGAGTTCCTGCTAGATCTCCCGCAGGAGAAGTTTGTCGGGATCCGCATCGATCACCGAGATCCGCCCGAGATCACACGCACTGCCTCGCCGATCCTACCCCTCATCGCCCCCATCCCACTCAGAGGTAAGCAGCAGTAGCATGCGTGCGTGCGTGTGCGTGCGTGCGTGCATGTGCGTGTGTGCGTGTGGCTGTGTGTGCGTGCGTGCGTGCGCGTCATTCACCCTAATGTATGCCCCACTGTCTGTAATGTAGACAACACTTTCCCATCCCGTCTGTCTCTAACCTAACGCTCTCCCGGCACGTTGTGCGTCGCAGCCACGCTCTGTGTGCATGTATGTACGTGTCCGTGTGTGTGTGTTTTACAGGGCTGCTGAGTCGCTGTGACCGCTGGCAGCCGTGGAGCCACGAGTTACTGCTACCCTCACACCTACGCCGCCGCCGCCTCGCCACGCTCCATCTCCCACCACCGCTCGGTAGATACCCCGCTGTTCCCATGCTGCCTCCGTTACTACGCATCCCCCCTCGAGTTCCTTACTCCCTTGTTCTAGTGAGCAGTACTGTTACTGCTGGTTACTTTAGTATGCAAGAGTTATAGTTGTTCTCGTTCTCCACTTCCCTTGCTCTAGTGAACAGTACTGTTACTGCTGGTTACTTTAGTATGCAAGTGTTATAGTTGTTACTCGTTCTCCACTTCCCTTGTTCTAGTGAACAGTAATGTTACTGATTGATCGTATAGTTATAATTACTAGTCCTTCCCTATTCCCCTTGCTCTAGTGAGCAGTAATGTTACTGCTGGTTACTCTAGCTAAGAAGTATTATAGCTGTTACTCCTTCCCTATTCCCCTGCTCTAGTGAGCAGTAATGTTACTGCTGGTTACTCTAGCTAAGAAGTATTATAGCTGTTACTCATTCCCTATTTACCTGCTCTAGCAAGCTGTAATGTTACTGCTGGTTACTTTAGCTAAGAAGTATTATAGCTGTTACTCCTTCCCTATTTACCTGCTCTAGTGAGCAGTAATGTTACTGCTGGTTACTTTAGCTAAGAAGTATTATAGCTGTTACTCCTTCCCTATTCCCCTGCTCTAGTTTTACTAGGTTATTACTATATAGTATATTTACTTATATATGCGTAGCAGTATTGTTACTTGTTGTCGCTCGCAGCTACACTAGGTAGTCGGCCGCTTGTGTTTGAGCGGGAGTTGATGTTGACCGTTTCAGCGTCGGAAGTGAAGGCCAGACAAGAAGAGAAGCTGAGAGAGGAAGCCGCCGCGCGAGGACACGGCTGGGAGGAGCAGCAGCGGGTAAGCTCGCGCGCGGGGGCGGGTGGGAGAGGGTGCCTGGTGCCTTCTCCCAGGAAAGCTTCCATGGGAGGTGTTCTTTAATTGAATTTTATATATCTTGATTCTTAAATATGATTAATTTAATGATCTTTGGTTTAATGTGTTCAACAAGCATTACCATGGATGGCTTCAGCTAGATTTCCTCAGTTCCCGCTTGCTCTCTCCCTCTAGCACGTCACTCACTCTCCAATCACTCCTCTCTCGCAGTCCCGCCACACTCTGTACACTCATTCTCTCTCCTCTGCCTCACTTAATCACTCTCTCTCTCTCTCTCTCGTCTCTCTCCTCTCGTCTCTCTCGTACTCGTCTCTCTCTCTCTCTCTCTCTCTCTCTCTCTCTCTCTCTCTCTCTCTCTC